ACAGTAATCCATTTTCAAAACTTGAAATTTTGATTTTCTCAAGTTTCTAAATTTCAAAAATTTAGAAAATTCCAAATTAAAAAAAAAATTCTGGAAATTTTACATTTTCTGAAATTCGAAAAAAAAACTACAGTATTCCTGAACTTTAAAAATTTGAAAATTTCAAGTTGTATAATTATTCAATTTTTCTGAAAATTTGAAAAATCCAAAAGTTTCAAATTTTCAAAAATTTCAAAAAACCAACCTTGATGATTCCCAAAAACCAGTAAATATACAAACAGAAAAACTACAGTAACCACAATAAAAAATCTATAATTTCTCATTTTCTCTGAAATCAAAAATTTCGGGAAAATTTCCGAAATTTTTAGGGTCCGCCCACTTTTTTTTCGGTTAATTCAGAAGACGTCCCGTTTTGTACGTCGTCTGATTCTTAGAGATTTTGATCGGAGATATCCAGGATTTTTGGACCTTTTTCTCGTTTTTCCGAATCTTTGGATTTTTCATTTTTCCCTTATTTTCATGATCGAATTTGAAAAATTCCAGTTTTCGGGGTTTTTTTTAAATTGAGATGTAGAGATTTCGATTTGGTTACTGTAGATTTAGGAAATTGAGGATTACTGTGGATTCCGTAACACAGTTTGATTTTTTCTAAACTTATGAATTTTTGAAAGATTTTTGGATTTTTGGAATTTTTCAAAATTTTCCAGATTTTGTGAATCTAGGATTACTGTAGACTTTGTATAGTTTTTGAAATAATCGAAATTTTTGAAACTTTTGAAAATTCGAAAGTTTTTTGGCAATTAAAATGTTTTACTGTAGGTTTTAGGAAACTAGGATTACTGTAGATTCTGGAAATTCAGATTTTTCGATTTTTAACGATTTTGGAATTTTCGAGTTCTGAAAATTTTCAAAATTGATGACTGTAGATTTTAGAAAAACGGGATTACTGTAGATCATGCTAATCTAGGATTACTGCATATTTTGCATTGATTTCGAAATATTCCAAACTTTTGGAATTTTCGAAAATTTTGGAAATGCAGAACTACTGTAGTTTTTTGGATTACTGTAACCTAGGAACTTGCCCTCTATGGTCTATGCGTGGAGTCTGGGAGTCCGAGAGTGGCGCAGACAGTTAGACACTCTGCTGTCTGCGCCCTCTCCCTTCCATTTGCTATCTTGCATAAAACTTCGAGGGTTTGTAACTCGGCTCAAAATAGAGCTAGAAAGCTGAAATTTTCAGGATCTGTACTTTGATATGTGACAAAAATAATGGTTCAAGATTTTCTAAAAAACAATTTCCCCAAATTACTGACTAGTATTATATGAAAGATCACTTTTTCGGGTCTAAACTAAACACCATTTTCGTATCTTTCGGAAAAATCTCCGCCGTCGTGTTTCTTCGGATTTCCACCGATACCATCTTATTTTCCGTGTCTATCTTGCCAGAGAAATTGAGACTTTGAATTTTCGAATTCTACGATGAGAAATCCACCAAAACGTAGATAACAAACAAGTCCTGAGACTACGAAAATAACCTTCTGATCTTTGTAATCTGAAAGTTCAAAAAAAAAAGAAAAATTTCAAAAAAATTGTTTACACCAAAATTTTCGCCATATTTCAGAATCTATTCCCTCAAAATTTCAGCTTTCTAGCACTACTTTGAGCTGAGTTGGCAGCCATTCGAAGATTGCAGCCAGCAAAATAGCAAATGGAAGGGAGAGGGTGCAGACAGTTAGAGATGTCTGACTGTCTGCGCCCTCCTCACTCTCTCGCCTCCAAAACTTCAATTTAACGTATCTCGGCTCCCAGAGCAGCTAGAAACTTGATTTTTTTACAGAAATATAGGAAAATGTTTCCATAATTCTCTTATTCAAAAATTGAATTTTCTGCTTTTCTGTAATTCAGTTCAAAGTATTCAGATCATTTACAACCAGTTTCTCAATTTATCTAATTTCGAAATCTGTGAAATTCAACGAAAGAAATGTTGAATCTCCGAGTCCAGGGTACGTAGAGATTTCTATCTACAGTAATCCAAAATAAGAAAACACACATAGCTTGATTGAATGACCCGGTTTTCGTGTTTCAAG